TCAGCATCACGATCCCAGCAGCAGGGGGTGGGCAGGGCAGGTGCAAGCTCCTGAGAGGCGCTCACACCTTCTCACACTCACTGCAGATGCAGAGTCGTATGTGGGGGTTTACGAAATGCAACTAATATTATTGTGAACTGACACAGACTTAACTTGCAAAGAGGGCCATCGTCCCCATCCCCTCATCTTGCCCCGAGTTGTGCCAATGAAGCCCCCCAACAGTGGGGGAAAAGCAGTACGTCCAATGGGGCCCAATGGACTTCGGCGGAAGTCAGTGGAGAGTGTCTCGAGCCCGGCCCAAGCAGAGAACTTTCCCCTTCCTCCTTCGAGGAGGGCCCCAGAGTTTGCTTTCCAAAGCAACGTTGGGCATTCCGAAGAGAGGGGGAAACCGTGAGAACTAGGCTAACTATGCCCTTAAGTCGGCAAGTGTGCTGAGTGCTGAGGAGCTCGACAACGTTTCCACAGAGTGATGGGGGCTCTGATTCCTCGAGTTCCCGATCCAGGTGCCCCTTTCATGCGGCACTCATGGATGATTACCTGCGTCAATATCAGCTCTCCATATGTAGGAATGTGGAGTCCTCGCGTGCGTGCACAAAACGTTGCTGGAAATGTTGCTTTAAATTATTATAATCCGAGCTCCTGTTTAAATGGGCCCCCCCCCCCCCCCCCCCCCCCCCCCAAAATAAGGAAGGCAGGGTTCCGCAATAGTTGGACCATGGCCCCGTATGGTTCTCTCTTAAAAAAACAATAAGAACGTATTGAGGTGCAGCCTTAGCAGATGTTGCACATCGACCCAAACGTCCCTGCAGAAGAAAAAAGCTTTCCGAAAGGCAGAGTTTCAAAATTTGACAACCCCCCCAAAAAAACTCTTTAAATGTGGGGGGTTTGGCCCATAAGAAGTCCATCGTAATGGAAAGTAGTCTTCCGGCGGGAATCCGGGCAAAACAATTTCTTTAAATATGGGGGGTTTAATTAAACAGGAGCTCGGATTAAAAACCAGCACATGCCCGGCGAAGACACAAACTCAGTCCACTTCTCTGTTCGCTTACGCTGTGATGCACGTAGCTGCAGAAAGGCGTGGCTAGAAACACGGTAGCCACATGAGCAAGCTGAAGCCCTGATCGTCGCATGAGTGTATTTCTACAGGCATGCATGCCAGTTTCCTTGAAGTAATTAACTGGGACAAGCAAGGCGCGTCGACTCTTCATGGGAAGTCGGAACGTCTATCATTTTCGTTATCGGGGCATGAGGCACATTGATTGATACATACAGCGCGGGAGCGAAGAGAGTGCCATGTGGGAAGTTCCGTTAGAGTGTGCTTGTTAGCCATGCAGCTGCATGGTAGCATGCTTGCCTAGATTTGTGGTGAAACGTAGCTTGCAGGTCTGCATCAGTGGCTGTCTCAGAGGCGCCGCGGCTCAATTGTGCACATTGTGCGCATCTGTTTTTTTGTCATGTCAATTGGGCAGTTCACGGATTCATGTTGGCAGACTTCACTGTTATCTTAGGACAGAAACTCTGACTCCAGCTGGTTTTCTAGAGGGTGCACGCCCAGCATCTGTCGGGCTCTGAGCGAAGATCCCAGACACGGTCGTCTGGCCTGGCGTACCCTGCACTTCGATAGCACGCGTGGTTTTGCGTCAGCCATCGCATGCAGGATGGCAGTGGGTTTCTCTTGAATGGGGAGACTCTGTGTTGTTGTTTTCCCAAGTGCTTGAGCACGACCCAGTTCAGTACGAGGCAACTCTGATGATGGGCGGTTCGCCCACCATATTGTGTTCAGTCCGGCACCCGCATCTCCTGTTCTGGCTGGCTCTTAGTATAGGGAATAAGGGAATGAGGCAAAAAACTCCCTTAAAGGGTAGGAAATAAGGTACCTCATTCCCTCATTCCCTACTAAGAACCAGCCGGTGTTTGCAGCCAGTATCGTCGTTGCTCAGCCGGTCAAAGACCATCGAGCCTGTGCCAAGGACGCTCGCAAACAACGAGCTGCGAACAAGCTCTTCGGGCCGTGGCACACTCAGAGCGCATGGGTTTAGGGTTTAGGGTTTAGGGCTTGCGACTTCGCATGACTTGAGACTTCCAGACCTTTCTGTTCAAACGCACCACACTTAATGTCACTGAATCCTGCAGTGTCAACATGTGAGAACTCTGCGTCACTGTGGCAGACCTCCAGCGACTGACAGGCTACATCAAACTGCTTTCGCGACGGCCAACTATGGCGGCAAAACACATGTCCTCAAGTTCTCGAGGCCTCGCTCTTTGCTTTCCAAGCCTTCTAACTACGGTTCCCAGGCTGAGGGGAGCAGTAGCACTTGCACTAGTTTATGTGCTTTTGCGATTGCATGGTATATCATTCTTATGCTTGTCTCGTTTTCTTGCAACATACGGGTAGATCGCAGGTCAGCCAGGCGCTAGCTTTCTGAGAACGCCCTGCAAGAAACGGATTTGTGCAACAGCTCATCACTCGCTGACTGGCCTTAATGTAACGCTGCTTATCACGGCATGGCAGAGCCGAAGGCTGCGGAAGCGTGGGCTGGCCCCAAGGGGTATCCAACAAACAGCGTAAACAGTGATGACCTACGGTTGTGAACTGTCGTTTCGGACAGTTTTGACAGTTTTGACCGTTTTGGGCAGCTTGCTGACGAAGTGCAGAGAAGCAAATGGGCTTGCAGTTGATGATAGCAGATAGCGCATGATCTTGAACTGCCTTGCAGGCGCCGGCTCAACATCGTGAGCAGGGCCTAGCAATGCAGAGGAATGCTTGATGTACTCATTTGTACCGCCTGTTTGCAGAGGTGTTTGATGGAGTTTGACTGTGGTGCGACTTTGTTTTGCCTTTGCATGAGGTGGCAATTTCTCTGCACCTTGCACAATATTCGGCACATGTGTCAGAATTTGCAGCTTGCTGTCGTAGTTGCAGTGTTCGCCTTTTGTCATTGGTTTGACCATTTAAACTCTCAGCGACGTGCAGCAATGTTCCTGGCACGCAGCAGACATACATGGGTAGTATGCAGTACAACATCTTGTCATCGACCCCAGCCCGAAAATGTTGAAAGCCCATTGAAGATTCGGGTGTCACCTAAACCCTAAAACCTAACCCCTAAACCCTAAACTTTAGCCCTACACCCAAAACCCTTTCCGGGGACGGATGGAAGGAGGAGGTTCGGGAATGGGTGTACTGGTAATGAGTATGAACGTTATCATCGCTCGGGCATGGATGCTCTGGCCACTCACTAGCAGCATGGACGGTATCATCGTTCAGGCATCGCTGCCCTGGCCAATCAATTAGACGCAGAAAGCGCGAGCAAACGAGCCGTCGAGTTTGGAGCTCGGGTGTAAAGGGCACTCTCCCCTTCCACCCCCTCTGCCGCCCCCACCCCGCCCCCGGGTAGGGAGGGGAGGAGTCGGAGATACATGTTTGAGTGGATGTCTTAGCTGAAGCTTTTTAGGTCCCCAGGGATCCTTACAGGATCCCAAACGGTTTGGCGGTTCTTACCGGTCATATTTGGCCGGGGGGCTTGGGGGTTTCTAGGGGGTCTATGGTTGCGGTACGCGCACACTCAGCCTGGCCTTTGCTTAATTCAGGTCAGTTCTTCAGTACTTGAGGCCTGAGGCCTGGTTGTTCAAGCATACTGTACCAACACCTGTGTCAGCACTGCACGTCGCCTTTTTCCGTGTTTCCTGATTCCTGCGCGCAGCTAGAGTATCTAGAGTTGGCATGCCGAACACTGAAGCAGTGGAATGTTGACACTGTTGTGCATCCTCAATGAATTGCCTCTAACTAAAGATTTCGAATGTTGGCTGTGACCATGTATGATCGATTTGACAGTGCATATGGGATCATTCCATGAAGCGCTTTACTCGTAGCTGCAGCTGCAGCCTTTTGCTTGCCTTGCCGTCTGTGCGGGCCACGTGGGGCTCAGCACATGAGGTTGGCTCAATACTTGTTGTCTTTTGGAATGTGGTGCACCCCTGCGCTTGATATCTCTGAGTATACTTGGGGCACCTGTGGGTTGCCTTAGTTTCGTGCAGGCGAGTGCACGCATGCCGCTCCCACAACTCGGGCATCCAGACCCGAACCGAAGATCTCCACGCGTTGCACCTCAAGTGGTTCTCTAGACGTTGTGAACACACAAGACTTCTAGCCACGCACACACACACACAGGACAGCCGCATAGTAGTGGCGGCAGCCCGAGAGAAGCAGCGCTAGCTTCTGGACTTCTGAACAGGTAAGTTCCTGCCGTGTCTCCACACGCATGCGGCGACCCTCTGGTCGCTTGCAGCGTGATTTGCTTTGACTTGCATGCTGTCCTGTAGTTCTGACATGCTTTCTCGAAGACATGCAATGTCTACCATGGTACTGGTACGGCTTTTGGCCTGCCAGAGTTTCTGAGCCAAGAGACGTATCTTGCGATTGCTCCAGTGCACGATCTTCGTCGCTGAGACTGATGACTGCACTGCCTGTGCAGAAGTATCGGCCTTCGGTTGTGAAGAATTGTACCTTACACCGTCATTCTGGGTCCAACAGAAGTAACCCTGCACAAGAAGCCAGTCTGTGCGACAGCATGCCAGCCTTTCTGGTGCCCTGGCATTCCCGTCACTGCTTCACAGCTTCATGGCCCAAAACTTGCCACTGCCCACGTTTGCCCGCTGTAAGAGCATCATGTCTTGGATGCCTCCAGCATCTGGCAGACTTGCTCCTTGAGAGGCACTTGAAGGCCTGGAACTTTCCTAGCACAGCCATGTGTGGATCACAGCTTTGAGCCGAGTGAGCCCCTGCCGGCCGTCTCCCCAGCATTCCCCAGCGTCTGTGTCCCCCCTGAGAAAACAAGAGCTTTAGGGATCTTCCGGGTTTTGAAGTGTGCATCGTTCGGCACGTGCTTTGCACGGGTTCGATTCCTCGGTGTGTGTGCTGCAGATTTTTTTGTGGCACATTTTTGTGGCACATTCTGCATCTGCCAAGACCACGGCGAAGCTGTCCTGCCTCGTTTGCAGCCATGCTGCGGGTTTCCGTTGCCAGACGCTTCGCCCGGAAGATTGGAGGCGAGCCGACTCGAGCATCTTCATCTTCAATTCCAGTCATGTGAGCAGCAACTTGCAGTGCTGTCCAGGTTGTAATGTCAACCCTCCTTTGGCTGGAGTTTGGAGTCCTTTCTTTTCCGTGCTAGGACATGTAAAGACATCTCTTTCTTGCTAGCCGCATTCAGGGGGATGTCATGACTCGATGCACTGCGCACTGTGCCAGCTAAACCAGCGGCGGCCGTGGCAGCGAAAGCGCCAGCCCCAACCGCAGATGACTGGCAACAGGCCACCTGCGGCCTCCTGCACCGAGTGCACGCCCCTGACTCCCAAAGAGCCTTAAAGAGCTTGATGAAGTAGCTTCTGCTAGGTGCTTGCGAAGTGTATAGGCCGGGTTTTTGCAGTTGGCATCAGAAGATGCCCTGCTTGCAGGGGTGTCCCCTTCTGGCGGTCGTGGCGCCATAAACTAGCCTTGAGATCGTACCAGAGCTTCCAAATTGCCGCCTCTCTCAGTTTCTCTTTCTTTCTTTTTTTCTTTCTTTCTTTCTTTCTACATAGTAGATACCTAAGTAGGGGGTTCTCACAGTGCTTGTCTGAATGCGTCCTCCCGCGCCCCCCCCCCTCTGCGAAACCGCCAGGTCCAAGATCCGAGTGGCCAGTCCTACTGGTGGAACAAGCGCACCAACGAGGCACCTCGTGGCTTCTGAATTACTTTTAGGGTTTAGGGTTTAGGGTTTAGGGTTTAGGGTTTAGGGTTTAGGGTTTAGGGTTTAGGGTTTAGAAACAATTCTGAAGTTGGTCCCTTTCTTCTATCCCAGTCTGTAACATCGCCAGCAAATTTGAGTGTCGTTGTTGCAGAGAGAGTGTTTGCTGGGACCCGTGTCAGCACCACAGTTTCCCTCAAAGCGACAGCAGTGTTTGTGTGTGCCAGACGACGGCCGTGGGTGCTGCCAAACCTGGGCCGGACCCTTGGCAGGAGGTGGCCCAACTGCATATTGGGAGTCCTGATGTGGGCGTTGCGAGGTACGAAAACATGTTGAGCAAGAGCTTGCTGCAAATGAGAACAGGCAGTACTTGCGCTCGATGCTTGAAAGTGCAGCTTGGGGAGGAGAAGCAGTCGTCACAGTGGATAGAAGGAAGGAAACCATGAAGAAAAGCGCTTTCGCAGCCCAGAGGGCCATGTGCTCGGCATCCGAAATTCCGAACAAAAGCTCCAAGGCACCGGGGCCAGTTGCCCAGAGTTCTGTTTCCTGCATGCTCCGGCTTCAAAACCGCAGGCCGTACGTGATTTTAAAATCTGCGCCCAATAGTTGCGGGCTCAAGTGCGAGGAGCTCGTCGCTTCCCGTGCCTATGTCGTTGGAATACGGGAAACATGTGAAGAAGGGTTCATGTTTCTTGTACACCCACCAAAATTAGCAAGGAACCTTCTATACACTCACCAATAAAGTAAAACCCTGCTTCATTACCCCGTGCTGCAACGGCAACAGACGGTTCGGCATGTACAACAGAAATGTGTCTGACATGTGTCGAGGTGAAGGATTCTGCTGGGCAGACCTATTGGTGGAACAAGGAGACGAACCAGGTGTCGCCTCGCAGCGCTCTGCTACTGTAGTGCTCTGCTGTGGCCCTTCCCTGGTCCTCCTCGCCTCTTAAAAACTTGTTCCGAACCATTTCCTAGGACTCTATAGAAGTTTGTCCTCGAAAAGCCCCGAAGCCCACAGATGTGCGCAGCCATTGGGGGGTTTACTAACATAGACCCCCAAAAAGTAGGTTTAAGTTCTAAGAAGGACCCCAATAATAAGGTACTCGGAAACTCTAAACCCTAAACCCTAAGTCCTGAACCCTAAACCCTAAACCTCGGAACCCCCCCCCCCCCCCCCTGTTTCTGCGCAGACGACTGCGGTGGGTGCGCCAAAGCCCAGCGCCGTGGCTCCGCAGCCGGAGGCCAGGACGCACGTTTGCATGTTGCAGCTCAACTGAGCTGGATCTTAGGGTTTAGTTAGGGTTTAGGGTTTGGGGCTTAGGGCGTAGGGCTTAGGGCGTAGGGAATGTTACACAATGCTACACACAGCCCAACAGCATACCCGCAGCATACCGGTCTGGGAGCCCATTCCGCAGCTGCCAGGCAGGAGTGCCTGCCGGGGCCCTGAGTCAGGCACTGCCCAGTCAAGCTCTTTACATTCCGAGCGTGGCTCAGCCGATTCCTTCCTAGGCTGCCGGTGGACTAGGTGGTGGCTTGCGAGGGGCGCTGATGGATGGTGCGCTGGTGTCGACTTGCGAAGTTTGGGGATTCTAGTCTGATATGTCTGCGCTTCAGCGGACGTGATGGAGCCGTTTGCCTGTGCAGGGCTGGCATGGGGCGTTGGTACCTCTGTTGCTGGCCGGATGATGGACCTCAGACATTTTTACAGCCAAATGGTTTCGCAGAGTCGGACGTCAAGTCTTGCTGTTCCAAGCGTCGGAGCACTGCCATTTGGAGTGCTGTGAGGACGGCATCCTGGGCCCCCGGCAGATGGAGGTAGTGCACAGGCACCTCCTTGCAATCATGCGACTTTTTTTTTATGCAAGCCTCATCGAAGCTGAATGCGACTTGTGGCATTGGCTTCGCAGTGACTTTTGTGCTAGATTGAAGTCTCCCCTGAGGAATGAGGATGGTGGTGGCGCCCCGTCAGGTGGCGATGCTGTGGGCTCAGAACGCTACCGGCGGTTCGAAGAGCTTCCTGAGGCACGTGATGGCACACACGTGCTCGTGTAAGTAGGGGCAACAGTCCTTTGACGCAGGCTCCGGCTTGCGGTTTCGAATCAAAGGCCCCAAAACAAGCTGAAGCTAATTCGGCACCAAGCCTCATGCGACGAGGTTTGCAATGAAGCAATGCAGACGCTACTGCACGATACTGTGTTATGTACATTTCCATATCCATGGATATATACACATATGATCCACATGTATTTATATATATATATTTACATATCTATACATACAGTTGTTCAATACAAATGCAAAAATGCTACTCACATACCAAGGGTATAGGGCAGCTTGGCTTGGTTGCACTGCAGTCGCCCTTTCTCAGCGAAGCGGACGAATGTCAAGGCCTCTCCTCCACCTCCCGGATCTGCAGCAGACTCGGGAGGCCTTACGGGATTGTGGTTGTCGTGGGCGAACCCGCTTGGACCACTTGGGTACTGTAGGCATCCTAGCAGTGACCACTGCAGGAGACCTCTCGAGCCAAGGCTGGTCCTGGGGTGACTCGGGTTCCAGTGAGGCCCTCGGAGCGACTGAAGACTGAAGGGCCGAAGCCGAGATACACGGCAGACATGCAGAAGAGATCAGTGCAAGAAGGGAGCCCGCATGCACCTGCGCGTGCGGCAACTGTGAAACTGCAGATGCCTGAAAGAAGTGATGTTCTGATGTAGGTCTGAAGCGAGCAGTAAGCCCCAACTCCTGTCCACCTTCCGTGGGGCTGTCTTTGCGCCTGACGTCCACTGTGAAGCCACCGTGCTGCTAGAGGCTTTTTGCATCGTTCGGTCCTATGCCGTCGCACATGGGCAGAAGCGCTTTGTTTAGTCAGTTATGCGCACATGTACCCAGGTACTGGTGGCAATGACGACGGCGGTGGATGGTTGCTCTGCCGTGCTTCTTTGTGGAAGAACGAGTTGTTGCAAGCAAAGGCAATTTGCACTACCTGTCCCCAACAGTTCGTTGATATGATGAGGCTGTCATGTAGCCTGCTCTACGTTGGGAACCGAGTAGTCGCCTGCCCTAATGCCTTCTGGCAGGTTTGGAGGAGGCGTGGGGCCATGGGGCCGCCCGTGTGGCTTTTGGGTTCGTGGTGCTGTGATGTGTCATGATGATGCTTCGCGGGTGGCATGCAGTTCAGTACACGGCCCTTGCGGGCCTGCCCGTGCGGAGCATGGCGGTCTCAGACATGGGAGTTTGTGTTGGTACTTGGTCAGGTGGGGATGACAGTGGCGACGGTGGAGGGGGTGGCTGGCAAGCCCCCCATGACTTCGTGATGATGTGCTGTAGCTACTTCAGCCTTACCATCATGCTTTGCTTCCCGCAGCACCTGGGCTGCCAGGTTCGGTGGTGGTGATGAAGAATGGTAGTGAACGGAGCCTGTGCCGATTGTCTCACCTTCCTCATCTCGGTTGCCGCGCTGAACAGGAAGTACGCGGACCTTGCGGGTGAGCCCCTGGTCCGCCAAGTCCGCGGAATCACCGAAATGCTTCTTGGTCTCTTGGGAGTTGGCGGACAGCTGATGCCACTTGGCAGTGTAGCTTGAAGATCTCAGACCTGCTCAAGCTGCGTTGCTCCATCAACCTCCCAGGAGTTAAGAAAGTAGAAATAGACAGAGTTCGAAAGACTGCTGTACAGGGCACGAATCTTGTGCCACAGCTCCAGCCGACGCGTCCACATTCATAACATCTTAGGAGGTGCTGGCTTGCCAGTCGGGAAGTATTACCAGCAGTTCATTCAGTCACCTTTCCAGTGACTCCAGTGTCTGCTTTCCGTTGAGCGCTGGTACAACATGTACAACAGAACAGGGAGTGTCCTAAGTTATCCAGCAATGCATGGCGTTGCCAAGCGTTTCTTGGGCCACAGCACTGTCAGCACTACAGCACTACTACAGTGCCAGATCATACCCTGAGCCTGATAAGCTTCAGGCTTATCTTGTGTTGCGGGGTCCGACGCACCTTTGTAGTGCAGCCATCTTCAAGCCATGGTCGTCCGAGGGAGGTCAAGGGCGGCCCGTCCGCCGGCTGAATATCTGACACGACTCATGCAAGGGTTGATCATGCAAGGGTAAACCCTAAACCCTAAACCCTAAACCCTAAACCCTAAACCCTAAACCCTAAACCCTAAACCCTAAACCCTAAACCCTAAACCCTAAACCCTAAACCCTAAACCCTAAACCCTAAACCCTACACCCTAAACCCTAAACCCTAAAGGGTTGAGCCAGGGCTGCTCATGGTCGTGACAGGGTTCCAGCCAGTGATTCTCTCACCTGGAACTGCTGCACTTTCAAGGGCCGCAAGTTTTTCACGCGACTGAATAGATACGGTTTAGGGTTTAGGGTTTAGGGTTTAGGGTTTCGGGTTTAGGGTTTAGGGTTTAGGGTTTAGGGTTTAGGGTTTAGGGTTTAGGGATACCGGGCAGCTGAGGCCCAGCCTTGCTTCCCTTGCTGGCACTCTTTGTGGGCGCCCTCTTGGGCCAGCTGGGGGCCATGGCCTCCTTCGTTGGCGGGAGCAACCTTCCCAGAGCGCCCGCGGTGCCGCGATCCCAGGTGGCCATGAAGGCGTGGCAAGAGCGACAGCGCTTTTTCAAGACGTCTGTATCCGCGTCTATGGCGGATCCATGATTCTGCATGCTTCTGCCATTTTGACTGACCTTTGTTCTCTTTGCCTCTAGGTGGGCCCGGTGCCCGTCCAGCTGCCGTGGATGAGTGAGCCGATGGATGGCTTTACCTTCGCGCTGTACATGATGGGCCTCTTCCTCGTCGTCGCGAGTTTTGGCGCCTTCCAGGTGTGGCGGCTCATGTTCAGCTCTCACCTCAGTGGATTTCGGGGGAAATTGCTCCAAATCTTCGCAAAAACTCTTTGTAAACTCTTTGCAAGCTCTTTGCAAGTGCCTTGTCCTAGGCGACGAGTTGGGAAGCTACGAGGAGATCAAATGGGGAGGTGCCAGGCCACCAAAGGAATACGTGGAGGAGATGAAGCGCATCGAGGCTTGCTGGCTTGCCATAGTTCCTAGACACTTCGCCATTCCTAGCACAATGTTGCTCACGTGCGATTTCTGAGACCGACCGCACTGACCGCGAGGCTCGGCGGAAGCGGAGGTACCTTGACCTGAAGAGCGTTTCCAAGGAGTGACAAGTGAGAGCTGTTCCCTTCTCTCTGCCTTCTCTTGCCTTGGCACGAGCACGTCGCTCACCGGGAAAGGCACCCTCAGTAGACCTAAGAGTGGCTGCGCCATGTTTTGTGTTGGAGAATCCGATTTACTAGCCCGCCGTCGCACCCCATTGCAAGACCTGCACCAGCGCAGCCACTTGGACCTCATGTTCAGTCATTTCATGTCCAGAGCTGTTGCGGCCTGTCCTATCGCAAGCAGTAGCCGACACAAGAATGGATGTAAATGCCCAGCTTAGCCAGCCAGGAACTGCTAGAGATGGGGCAGCAGCTGCACACAGAGCAGTTTTCATATTCGCTCAGCTGTTCACCAGACCGCCTTGAGCAAGGCTCGTGTTCCAAAAAAGTCGATTACGGCCAGCCAGCTTGACCTGTGCTGACAAGAGCTGGGAAAGTTTCGAGATCGCCCCACACATTCCGTGAAGATGTCGTAGGACCATAATATATGGGCACACAGCGCCGATAGCCCCTGTCAGCCATGGTGAACAAACAGTGTGTGGGGCCGTTGAAGGGCTGAAGGTTTACGACCTCTTGCCAGTCAGGACACCCCCTTGGATGAAGTAAGTGGATTCAGTTGGTTGAGGCATGTTGTCTTTCGGGTCCGAAGATCCTTGGACGCTCGCGATGTCGCGGTTGTGTTGGTCGGCTCAACCAGAGCGACTTGAGCGTGTTTTTGTTATTTTATCTTTCTCTCTATCTCTTTTTTTTTTCTCTCTCTCTCTCTCACACACTCTCTCTCTCTCTGTCTTCTCTTTCTTTCCTTGAAGCGCAGACAAGAAGAAGCCGTGTGGCCCCTGAAAAAAAGCCGGCGTCGGCCACAATGAAATGACAATAAGGAATGTGGAGGAATCTCAGACCCTCAAGGAATGCACCAACAAGGCACAGAGATGCAAAGAGTAGGAAAGGAGCACAAACGCAGTCCAAGTTTGGGCTTGTGCATCGAGTTCTCACTGCTGTGGCAGGGGCTGGCTGTGCTCTGACACACAGCTTTTCCATCGATACAGGTTTAGGGTTTAAGGTTTAGGGTTTAGGGTTTAGGGTTTAGGGTTTAGGCGTAGAGAACCTCTCTGCCGACTGGCGCAGCTTGTGCTCCGTGCCGCTTGCAGCGTCGTCATCGCTGAAGATATATGCACGTCGTAATGATGTGTAGAGCATGTAGAGCCCACAGCCCGTTGAGTAGAAATGTAAGAGAAGTTGTAGGAAGTCGCCTCTGTAGTTTGTGTGATTCGTGTGGCCATGCCTCGGCTTGGTGTGGATGACAGCAGCCCTGCGAGCACGATCAGCAGAGAGAGATCTAGGGTGCTTGACTCGCGAAGATGGCATATGTTGTGCATTTACATGGCCTTGGGCGTCCTGAACCAGACTCTTTGGCTGACCTTTGCTGCAATTCCAGATGCAACAGCTAGAAGATACAGCATCCCGGAAGACTTCGTCGCATCCTTGGCAGTGCTTTGCAATGCCGTGTACGTGCCCGGATCCTGGATCTGCACTGCGCTTCTCAGGAGCTCTGGGCTGGCGAAGGTTATGAGAGTCGCCTGCTTGCTGCAGCTGATCGGCAGCCTCATGCGTGTTACGGCAGACTCGGCCTTCAGGCAGCTCTCGGGCCCATTTGCCTTTGTGACCCTCTTTGTCGGCCAGGGCATTGCAGCACTAGCTTCCCCACTCATCATGAACACACCGGCGGTTTTTGCGAGTGCCTGGTTTGGGAGACGCGAGCGAGAGGGTGTGCTGGCAGTGGGTGCGTTGAGCCCCATCTTTGGACAAGGGTTCTGTGCTCAGCTTCGTGCATATTTTGCCCCAACAAGAAACGATTAGCTGCTCCAAAGCAAAACCAAGAGCACCAGAGTCACTGGAGTATCTCTCCCACCCCTGGATAAAGGGCAGCCCCTGAACTTCATGGGAGTCTTCATCGTTTTTCCTCGTCTCCGCTTCTCCTCGTCTCCTCGTCTCCTCGTCTCCTCTTCTCCTCGTCTCCTCTTCTCCTCTTCTCCTCTTCTCCTCTTCTCCTCTTCTCCTCTTCTCCTCTTCTCCTCTTCTCCTCTTCTCCTCTTCTCCTCTTCTCCTCTTCTCCTCTCGTGCTCTTGTCTTCTTGATGTAAACGAACGTTCATGTTTCACGCCTCGGCAGGGCCTGCCCAGCGGCAAGGCAACCCCCAACCGGGGATCACTTCTTCAACAAGTTTCGTGCAATCATTCCATTTTGGGGCTTCTGGCAGTAGGGAATGAGATGCAGAAGGAAGCGCAACGGGTGGGGGCCGTTGGGGAGGGGATTCGAGGTGGGGTACCTGCTTTGGGGCCTTGAAAGGGGGATCAAAAGCGTAGCGCATGATTTGGCAATCCTGCAAGCGACGTAAGGAATCCTGCTGTATTGCTTGCGGCCTCAGATTAAGAAACAGGGGCCCGCTTAATGAACCAATCAATCAGTTCCACCTCTGTGACTGGGGACGGGAGGGGCCTTCTGCCCTGGATGGGGTTGTTGCACATCTTGTAAGAGTCCGGGAGTGCACAAGCAAATTCGATGACCCTGGATGGGGTAGGTTCAAGCGTGAATGACGGCTGCTAGTCCGGCAGTAGCACCAATTGAAGCTTCATGATAAAAACCCAGGGCCTGATTTTACTTCAGGAGCTCCGCATTGCATTAATTTTTGATCTGGGTGGGATGGGGCCCTGGAAGTCGTTTATTTCCCGGATGCTCGGATTTCTGTGACTACAATTGGCGCGTCGTGCGCCAATGTGAAGGAAAGGCTGCTTCATCAAACCGTGCGCAGGTCAAGCAGTCCCCTGTCGTGCATCGGCACCTTGCATCTGTCTGACGATGCTTTGCCACTGAGGCTTGGCTCGGCCATTGCTGGTTTCGTCGTGACGGGCTATGAGGCGCAGGGCACAGAGCAGCTCCTGGCAGGGCAAGCCTCACTCAGTGCTCTGATGGCTTTCTGGACCTTCGCCCAATTCGTCGACGCCCCCGGGGCATCCGTGGCGGACATTCGTAGTGACACCTTTAAAGAAGGTTGGAAGCTCATACGCCGGCCCAACTTCTGTCTGATTCTCATCATCTTCAATTGTGGCATGGGCCTGGCCGCTGCGACCCTGACCTTGTTTGGAAAGATTGCGGCGAATTGTGGCTACACCTCCACGGATGCTGGCATTGCAAGTGGTATGTTCATGGTTGGTGGAGTCGTTGGCTCGCTGGCGACGGGGTGGATTCTGGGAGCAACTCGAGCTTATCGCACAATTCTGCGATGCTCAATTGTTTCTTCTGTGGTGTTTGGTCTAATATTTCTTGGCATGCTTCGTCCCGACAACTTGCGCTGGCTTTTGGTGACGACAACATTCTTTGGCGCTTTCATGATGAGCGCGCTGCCGGCTTTGTTGTCCAATGCCGTGGAAGAGACCTTCCCGACTCCCGAAGACATCACCACGGCCCTTCTCTTCAATTCTGCAATCTTGCTCCAAGTTTTCTTTATCCCGCTATCTCAAGGTGTCCTGACTAGCCAGGGCGACACCTGTGCTTCGTGGGGCTCCCCCTATAGCATCTTCATGATATGCATCGCTGGCTTCGGATGCTTTCTTCCAGCCCTGGTCTACCGTGGCAGAAACAACCGAATGCTAGCTGAGCTTGAGGAAGAGGAGGCGCAGGAAGGAAGCTGAGAGAGTCTTTGACACGAAGATTATACAGAGACTGTGCTTGGATTCGCAAAGCTTCGCCTGTTTTCACGTAAGCTGGCTCCTTTATCGTCTTCTTCTCTGCCACGCTTGAGCCAAATTTAATGCTTTAGGCGTGGCCGACCGCTTGGGCACTGCGTCTTGAGCGAAAAGAGAAGGTTTGACAGGTCATCGCGGTTCTGGGGGCCACGGCTCGCATTTCTGGAACAGCGTGCAACTTCGCCTATCTGTCAAGATTGTCCACAGATCGAGTCTCTCTTCCGCTCCCAAACTGCAAGCATGGGAAGCCAAATTGCAGCAGGACGCTAGTACTGGAAGTTCTTTCAGAGAAGCACTTCAAGTTGCCATTGCCCTTTCCAGATATCCAGTTGTCGTGGCGATATGTGCCAAGTGGCTCGGCGAGTAGGATGTAAGCATGGAAGAAATTTTGCCGTGCAGCAACCAAGCTCAGAAAGAGAATGTGACTCGCTTCAATGACGGCGTTGTGGTTCACAGCTTGCAAATCAGCATGAGCCTTTCATCACGACATTGAATGCTGCAGAACAGCTACATCAAACAGCATATGTGCAGGCATGCATCCTGATTTCGGAAAGGATCAGAGTTATCTGCAGCAGCAGACCCTTTTCCTCAGCAAGTTACAAGGACACGGAGGCCATGCTACCGCCGCATGGCACTCCAAGCAGTAGTAGTCAAACAGACCACACGGGCCCCTGCCCCACGTGCATGATCAGGGCGAAGCCTCTAAAATTTAGGGTTTAGGGTTTAGGGTTTAGGGTTTAGGGTTTAGGACTTAGGGTTTAGGGTTTAGGGCTTAGGGTTTAGGGTTTGTAGAAGGCTCTGGTACTCTTCGACCCCGATGGAAGTTGGTACCTCCATGGACTCCATGGACTTGGAGGCACCTCTGCTCCCAGGGCGATGCTTCGGAAGTTCGACGGTTTAGGGTTTAGGGTTTAGGGTTTAGGGGTTTAGGGTTTAGGGTTTAGGGGTTAGGGGTTTAGGGTAAGTTGCTCAGGGGATGTAGCCTGATTCTTTCTCCTATGTGGTTGCAGACTGTGACTGCGCGCCGTCCACGGCAAACTGCTTGCCACTGCGAAGGCGTATGACATCCCTGTGCCGGCTAGCACGACAGGCAGCCCGTGCGCAGTCCGTTATGTGGTGTCTTTCTGTGTCTTGCAAACTGGTGCTTGATAGAGCGTTGATAAATGTTGCACTTATGTGAAATTGATTGATTGATGTTGAACTAGGAGCGTGCTGCACGGATATGACCGTCTTTCGGAGTCGCATGTCGCATGTCGCCGCGTGTCTCAGCTCTTGAACCAAAGGCCTTGTATGTCTTATGGAGCATGTGGGGCATGAAGATGGTGCATGCTTGGGATGGAGTGGGCCTGGCGGCCTGCCAGAATCCTTGCACAGCCCGTCCGAGGCATCTGCAGGCCGTGCAGAAGCCTTGCTGCAAGTGCCGCAACAAGGAAGGAGCGGGAGGACGCGGCGTGGCCGGAAGAATGCTCGTCATTGGCACCACTGTGCCTGGGGCCCGCCGGATGAAAGTGTGATCCAGAGTGTGACCCTGCCTACGGCCTTAGGGCGGCATCGCGGAGGTTGTGGGGCATGGAGGAGGCGGCGCCAATGTCAGGAATAAATTTTGCGGGTTTGATGGATCTTACTTGTAGAAGGACGCCTAAACACCATCCTGCCGTATTCAAGACGGACCAGGAGTTCGCCCGGCACGCTCAAACCCAGCAACCCTCACACGCCACGATTCCCCTTCAACATCCCTCAACCATACAAGCCCCGTGCCCATTCTTGCAGTCCTTTCTCCTGATGCGCGTGTCCTTGTAGTCCCTGAGAGGGTGGAAGGGAGTGATTGCACGGTGAACCTTCGGAAGCAGCCAGTGATCGCCAGTGACAAACCGCTTCATGCGTCGGCACGGTGATCTGATGTCGATGCCGCACAACCATGCTGTCGAAGTTGTGCTCGACGTCACAAGTGGCCACCTGTTCAGACCCTTCCCGCCCTGCCCCCAAGGGTGGAATGCCAGTTGCCAAGAGATGTGTATCGACGTCCCTTCAGCTCCTCTTTGGGGTCGTGTCGGGCGTCAGATCGCAGTGCCAACGAAGTGGGCCGGCATTTTGTGTCTGTGCTCTGCGTTGATTGAAGCTCGTCCATGGTCTTCAGCAAGACGGGACGCCCACAAGCCATGCAGGTCAGAACCACGCTACTCTCAGAGAGAAGCTTGGCGGTGAAAAACACGTGAGAGTTCTTCCAGTGCCTAACGTCCTGTTGTACGAGAGCAGTGATGGCATTCGTCACATGTCCGGATCCGCATGAACGCCATCTGTGTGCCCTAACCATCAGTATCCTCGGAGCAGCAGACACCGACTTGCCAGGGTGGTTTCAAAAGGAGCCCGTCTGGATAGACGACAAGCAACGGGCTCTGCATGATTCTCTTAGTGCGTTTAGTGTGTGCCCGGCCCACCCATGTGAGAACATTGCACGCAAAGGCAGATGCTAAGCTAGGTCAGCTAGGTTCGCTACCAGTAGGTGTCATTGTGCAGCTAGCCGTCAGCCAAGGGATCTTCTGCTGCAGGTGGAGTGGGTCCAGACCTTAGATATCATCTTTTGTAGCTGCAATGGTCCGAACATTCCTACCTTTTGCACCGGCGCTTCGCTGGAATTGACTTCTCAAGGCTTGCCTTCTGCTCTACGCAGCCGCTGGCATTGGTGCCGCGCTGCTGTAGGGGGCTCTGGGGAGTAGTGAGAGCAGCCTGGGCTCGGATTTCATGACGCAGCAAACCCGAGCACTTCGCTGAGGATCCCACGATCCAGGCCGAGTGCGGCATTCCGACTGTTCAACGGAAGTTTGGGTTCAGGGTTTAGGGTTTAGGGTTTAGGGTTTAGGGTTTAGGGTTTAGGGTTTAGGGTTTAGGGTTCTCTGGCACCAGCTCACCAGGTCCACCTCAGGGACTTCGACCTCCACGCCGCGGGCCATGCTGCCCGGGATGCCAGACGCCAAGTTCGCGAGCCCCGTGTGTGGACTCCCCGAGACTCCCCTGGGTTTAGGGTTTAGGGTTTGGGGTTTAGGGTTTAGGGTTTAGGGTTTGGGGTTTAGGGTTTAGGGTATCTGAGGCTTTAGAGTTTAAGGTTTAGGGGGGGGGGCTGTGATCTCAGGACTCGTCAGATTGGGGTTCAAGATGATGTGAGTTGCCCACGGGTGCAAGGAAGAGTCGACGCCTTTTGGCAGTTGGGCTCTGCGTTGCCAACGCCGTGCGCTGCCAGGCCCTGAGCAGAACGCACTCTCATGACGTCTCATATATGTATATAGTGTAATCTAGAATCTAGAGGATATATATATATATATATATATATTTATATATGATAGTATCATACTGCTACGTAGCGAAGAAGTCCAGATATCAGTCTGCCACGCAATTCTCAGCATCCCGGCACGCGCGCGGAACTTTCAAGGCCGCTTCAGTGTGACGAGAAAAGATGAGAAAAGAACACTCGGGCAACATTGAGAAGGTTTTCCAGCATGTTCCGGAGGGCCGGTGCCCGTCCTTTGCATGTTCCTAGGTAGGATAAGGGGGACCCTTAAACGAGAACCCTTCCGAACCCTCCTAACTAACACCCTAACACCCTAATACCCTAATACCCGAATACCCTAATACCCTAAAGCCGAACCTCATTCAGAGGGGTCTCTATCCCCAAGAATCCCTCGAAACCTATCCCCCTACGTGTGAGCTTCAGGTTTGAGCCTGCTCTTGGAGATCGAAAACACGGACAGCAGGGTTTAGGGTTTAGGGTTTAGGGTTTAGGGTTTAGGGTTTAGGAATGTGTCCGCCGAATCACGCTCTGTTTTGCAACGGAGGTTCCAGCTGTGGCTTGAGGGGAGACGCATGTGGCGTGTCGATGTCGCACAGGAAGGACACCTGACAGATCTGCTACAACAGCTAGGTCCGACTCAGATGCAGCCGGCTCACTCAGCTTTCAGCTTGAATCTTGCTTTTTGCACACTCCTGTAATTGCGCCCAATGCGGGGTGCAACTCCCGGAAGGGACAAATGGCGCACGTAGAACGTAGTTTTTTGGCGAGCCCACGTGGCATCAGGCGCCATGGATGTGATTATGGGTCTTGGGGTTCAAGAGCGCGCGACCAGGCGCGCTAAAGTTCCGCGAGAGGAAATTTAATTTTGGAGAAAGATGCGTTTCCGGGACCAAGTGATTTTGATCAACTGCCAACATGTCACGTGGGGCTTCAGGGGGGGGGGGTGCCAGGGAAGCCCCAGCGGGGTGGTCCCAGGATGGGTCCCGGAGGGTCCCAAGAAGGGTTCCACGGGTGTGTTCTTGATGTTTCGTTGATGCGAAGCACTTGAGCAGCTGTTTGCATTGTTGCTTGGGTATCTCAGGCCGGTGGGGTACTGTTGCTGTTTCACTGAGGTGGCTGTGGGACTTGATCTCTCTCTGTCCTACAGTGGTGTACCTTTCCGCCACAATCTCAGTCTGTGCCCTTCGGGTAGCACGGTACTGGTAGCATGGTAGCACCAATGTCAATGTTCGATGGCCCCCTGCAATCCGCAGTTGCCTTCGCTTGGGCAACGCAAAAAACTTAGGCTTTCTCCATTGTCGTGTCCTTCTTCGCGCAGGCAGTATCAGAGTATCGACAAGGGCGTGGCTCAAAGCGGACATGGAGCTTCAGTGTTGCGGCTAGCTCCACTACGCCATCAACGTGGTTCCACTACCGCTGTTGGACTGCCTGGTGGTCGCAACCCAAGAGTTACGAAGCTGAGCACTACAAGTAGATTCGACAACCTCTTGAGCCACAAATACTGGCTGTATGCCTTGTTCTGCCCTGAAAGAAAGCTAGTTTCATGTCATTTCAGATCCATGAGACAAGCACGTGGGGTTGATGCCCCCCCCCCTTGTCAAGACGAGACGATTGTTAGCTTCAATGAGCCGCAGATCCCCAGCCTCGGATGTCGGATCTTGAGTGAATCTGAAAATATCAGTATCCCTCAGACGCAACCTTTTCTGGGTACTCCCAGGTGTGCATTAACATTGCTTGCTACTTTCTAGCTGAGCCCTCAGCTGTTTTGTTTGAGCTTTGATCTCTTGCACGGGGCGAAGACGAAGATGTGTGATCCTGACCCGAGGTGGTGGCCGTTGCTGTCTGCACATACCTGCTTTGTGCGCCTCCTGCTCAGACTCAGGGCCTTTTAGTCATTCGAGGTCATGTTTCGACCTCGAAACCCTCCCAGCTTGTTTTAGCCCAAGGTATCACCACCTCCGGGCATATCTTTCCTGCATCATCGGCTTCCTTTATGCCCTGGAACCTAGTAAGCAGAGGTGCATGGGGCATCTTGAGCACAGCAGCCTTGGAAAAAGCAAAACAGCATTCCGAGGTGACGCTGGCATGGTCGATGATGTACTATGGAATGATGGCCGCGATCCCGATACCTGCATGTCTTTGCGGGCCTGTGAGATCTTCTTTCCAATCGAAAGATGTAGAGTAGAGTGCCATTGTTGTGGCAGCATCTCATGCAAGCATGCGAGCATCAGCGACGCGCAACCTTGCAGCGTGTTTTCTGCACCGCATCTTGGCGTGCGAGACCATTGCTCTTTGCAGATGATTGCAGGTCTTGACGCAGCTTGCTGAGATTTGTCGAAAAGACCCTCCTGTGTGGAGCACTTGGTCTGGAGACGTTGAGTGGCGTATTCGGGGGTGCCACCGCTGAAGCACTGGTCAAGATATGTCAGGGTCATTCAGCTGTGAAGTGCTCCGGAGGTATTCCTGTAGTCTCCTCCAGTGACTGTCTTGTACTGTAGCTGGAGGGCATGTCAGGCATGGCATCACGGTTGTCTGATGTCTTCCTTCGTTCCCCCTTCTGGCAGTCCACTGCGCAACACTCGCGGGCCAGCGGCGCGGAACCTGAAGCAGCGGAGGCATCCACGGATCCTGTGGCTGATGCCGATGCGACCGAGGCATCGGAGGCAAAGTCTCCTCCTGGATGCTCAGAGATCCATCGGGCGACTGAGGATGACACGGCAAGAAGTGGCGAAGGTGCCCCGACGTCCCTGGGAGTCGAGCAAGCCGGGGATGAATGTGTATTGCCAGCTGCTCCTGATAGTGCTGATCTGGTCGCACCAAGCAGCAGCACAGCGCCGCCAGAGGACCTGCCAACAGCATCAGTCACAAGGGGCCTGAGACTCAAGAGTGGGCCCGTGGATGTGCCCACAACTCCTCCACGACGAAGCCGACGTTTGAAGGGGTTGGCGCCAACACCCAGCCCGCTGCCACAGCGGAAGCGGAAGCTGACAGAGCATGCAGAGACGGCAAAGCCTGGACCGGAATCCGACCTCCCGAAGCGCACCAGCTTCGCTGAAATCCTGAAAGCCTGTGTCGGGCAGTCCTCGCTCCAGCGGACCCAGAAGAAAGCACCCAAAGCACCAAAAGCCAAAGCCGCCAAAGCCAAGTCTTGCCGACGGAGCGTTGAGAGGCCCAACACTCTGCAGCAAGGCCGGCGACTGCCGCAGGGGCCAGCCCTGACCCGGATCCCTGCTGAGGTTTTCGAGCGGCATGCGCCAGAGCCATCCACGCGGTCGCGGCCAAAGCGGCGCCGCATGCCCCCGCTCCAGGCCTGGCGCAATGAGCGGGTCGTCTACGAGAGGACGGCGCGCTCTCAGACTCCAAGTGTCGTCGCAGTCCAGATGGACATGACCACACCATCCACGCCCACGGCGACCACGTCAACCGCGACGGATTCGGTGGCACGGAATCGACTGCCTGCCCTGCAGGCTCCCTTGAAAGCGCTGGGGTCACTACAGTCCAGTGAGTTCAAGGATTTTGTGGGCATTTGTACGTCCAGATTGACCAGCCGCGTTCTGGCTCTGCCAGACCGTGGTGAAGCTCATCCTTGTACTATTTCGATCAGTGGTCCCGGTATACTCCATGTTCTCGATGGCACCTTACGAATTGCCAAGGAGGGAGCGGCAAAGGAGATGCAGCTGAGCGAGGGGGCTTTCATGCTTGTGAAAGACTCTGACAGAAGGCTTGTAGCAGGACGGGCATCAAGGCCGAGTAGCGTTGCAGTTCGCTTTCTCTGGGTAGAAGTTCGGTAGTCGTAGCAGCACATTGTCTGTACATTGCCGAATCTGCGGCCTCGGTATATCTCAGCTTCGTAGGCAAAAGTGCTCCAAGCTCAGGCAGAGACCTGCAGCAACCTGCATCCAGAATGTTTCATCTGAGCTAGTTACTCAGCTTGAGCAGCTAGAGCTAGATGGTGATGCCCACACGACTGCACACGGGTCTTGCGGAGGTAGAAATCGTCAGAATACGGGGTTCCAGCGGTATGACGGACAAACAGTCGCAGGCATCACATGCTGCTCAATGTACGTAGGTTTACCAAGCACAAAGCCGGGCATAAATTCTCTGCGGTGCTTGCAGCATTAATGCACATGACGTCCCACGCGATGATGAAAACATGCCGGGGTTGTGGTTCTGGATCTGATATGACGACATCTATTCGAGTTGACAGGGGCGAGATCTACCTGAGTGTAGTCAGCGATGTGGCTGTGCAAGTTTCCGACATCCTGTGCCGAGGCGAATGCTCATCACCAGAGTGGGCATCGTTTCGGCAGCTTCTGCATGCAAGTTTAAATGACACGAAGCACTCACTTTCTGATGTAGGTGGCAATGCAATTAGAGCACATACGATTGATAAGGTACTGTGTCCGGCGCTCTTCCTGATCAGAGCAATCTGCTTGCTAGGTCGAAACCTTACTTGCTGAGCCGTTCTCGGGAGCTCTGCCTTCTTTTTTAAGCGCAGAAGGAAAGACTAAGACAGAGCTTGCACAGTCCCAATCGCAGCAAAAAGCCATAGTATTGGCACATGAGGCACATGCGCACGCTGGCATGGGTGCAGCTCATGAGGTCAAAATGAGGTCTCAGAAGTGTTATCACATCGCCACTTTGCTCCAAGTTTTTTGGAAACACACAGATCACGGAGATCTGGTTCTGTAGTGTGTTTCAATTGAAGCAAGAAAAGGGAAAACCAATTTCTCCACATGACAGGCGTTTTGTCTTGCTGTTTTTTGCATTCTTCTCGCTTGTTAGAGAAAGGCAAATCTCCACCGGACGGGGCGTCCGAAGTCGAGTGGCAAGGATGAAAGTTTCGCAATGACCAAACAGCTGCAAGCAGTCTCGGGTGCAGCCCAGGTTGGGGAAGCGCCATGGCTGCACCGCACTTGTCTCAGAATGTTTGCCCAGATGCGTAGACATCGTGGACTCTGCACACCGCTTCCCTTGATCCATGACGCTTCCACTGCGTTCGTGCTGGCTGGTACGGTTCATTATTAGTGACGATTCCGGAAGACTGTGGTAGCATTCCAGGTCCACTGGCGTGGACTTGGTGCTGGCGCTCTGCTCCGAGTGGCTGCCTACAGGTGTGGGCGTGCCACGCTGCGGTGCTGCATTCTGCCCTGTTGAGCCGCAGATGGCGCAGCCATGCGCAGCCTTTGTCTTGCATTTGCTTTGGCGCCAGTCGTGGTGATCGTGTGCCTCATCCCTATGCGCAGCTGCCATGTTTGCAAGAATTCGTGAGGGCATTCGCTGCATTCGCTTCTGTGCTGACAGTAGACTGAGTAGACGTGTTGTCAGTGTCACCTCGACATTCCAGGGTTTGGGTCGCATGCTTACACGTTGCTTCCGCGTTATTTGTAGAGACACTGCCAGATCCACCTCCGACTTCCCGCAGGAGCCCTGTTCCGTGCTGTTATTGTTTTTCGTTCGCGCGCGCTGCGCTTCGGGACGTTGGTTGCAGTGGTTGGGACGGCGGTAACAGCAGGCTTCAGGAGCTTCAAGAGGGTACCGTTTGGGATGTTCCCCCTGAGACTAACAGTCCTTAACAAGGCTTATAGTACCCCTATGTCAATCCCCATGACGGACTGTTACTGGCAGTATAAGGGGGAGCATCCCAAGGTGCAGTCTTGTGCTGTCTCGCTTGGTGTTGGGCAGGAGCTCACGGTGGATTCCGAGTCAGACCAGGACGCTGAGGCTCGATCGCTTTGCGTCAGTGCATCTGAAGCATGAAACCCTAAACCCTAAACCCTAAACCTTAAACCATTCTTAATTAGTTTTGTTCAAGCCAGGCACTCGGTGTTCGTCCGGAAAGTTTGTGCCGATTTTCGCTTGGAGTGCTCGGTTCTGTATTCGTATTTAGATTTGCCAATGCTGCCAGGTGCCCGCACTGCACGAACCGTTGCTGGAAAGGCTTCCGAGATAATCACTCCGAGCTGAATTCGTAGATTGCTTATGTTATTGATGGTTATCAGTATGATAGTTCTTGGCTTTCTTTGGGGTTGATGAGAGGATGTTTGGTGTTGTCGGACGCCAGACGACCTTGTGTGGACTCATGAGCCTTCGCTTCCGCTCTCGCAAGTGCCCGCTCATGTCAGTGTCTGTGGGCAGGGAATCCGGAATCGCCGACAACTGGCGCGACCCCTCCGAATGTTGCAACAGCGCTTGCCAAGCTTGCCACTGTCAGCGCCTGCCATTGTATCCGTGGTCTGTGGCTCATGGGATGTCATGCCCCGGTGAGTTGCCCGATCATAGCGTCTTTGCTAGCTGTCTTTGAGTGCATGGCCGAAGAAGGAGACGGATTCAAAGGGATATTCAAAGATTGCGTCTCTGTTTGCTGATTTTCCTCAGCAGAACCATGATCCGCACAGCAAGCATCATTAGGTGAAACATTCCACGCACCATGTGCACGAGCAAGGCACTGGAACATTCGCATAGCTTGGCCAACGTAGCTCTGAGAAGCAAGAAGCATGCTCTGCCTGCGCAAGCCTTGGACCACTCGCAAGCACCTTAGTGGCAAGCTTCGAGTTCAAGACCCAGCTGAGTCTGTTGTCATGTGACCGGGACTACAAAGTGCTGCCATTTGGCTGCCGCAGTTGTCAGACGGGCTGTGAAGGTCTGCAAGGAGTGGCACGTGCCAGCTCAACACAGGCGCTGGCTTCGCCTCTGGCAGGAGACGGCGGGAAGGGCCAAACGGGACATCATCTTTGGCTGTGAGGTAGAGGTTTGAAAGGGCGTCAAGCATGAAGTAGGCTGCACTGCCGCATGTCCTCTAGGTTGCTAGCTCGTGTCGCCAAGTCATCCTCGAAGGAATACGGGTGCTGGAGCTTGCCAGCGCGCGAAGCTCGGCCGAATGTTCTGCCAAAGTGCCTGTTGGTTCAACTTTGGAATCCGGTTTCCCTCGTGGCCTACGCATTCTAGGCGAGGGCCTTCCAGCATTCCTGACCGATGCTGGCATGTTTGTCGTGTCCCCCAAGCCTGCAGAGCCCTTAATGCCTTTTAAATGGTGTTTTCAAAGCTTGATATTGGCCTTCGTTTTTTTACATTTTCAAGCATGTTGACGAAATCATATTCCAACAGGTTTTTCACTGAGAACGCACGGCACGTGTTCCAGCTTCCGTATTCAGTAGAAGCCGCTGCACGTTGAGCCGTCATATCAAGCCCTGATCATGAGCTTGCATCGTTTCAACTTGTTCTTGTTTTGAAACAGGTGTTCCAGCTTGTGCATTATAGGCGACATCTTAAGCCAGCGGCTATTTGTCAGGCAGGTGTTGATTCTTCTGATGTGCCTGCAAGGTTGGTCTTATGCGGGCTTGCCGTAGACGGTGCCCTTAAACGTGCCCTTAAACTGGCGCCCTAAATTCTGAAGAGAAGATCCAATTGACTTCGAGGTCCTCAGGCACTACGGGCGAAGCCCCCCGCTCTAGGTGTTCAGGAAGGTGCCCTACAATGCTTCATTGAGAGCTGCAATGACCGCTTCAAGGGCGGCTTTACGGGCGGCTTCTCGTGTGGAGTTTACGGGCAGCTTTGTGGGCGGCATTACGGGCGGACTTTAAGGGCGGCTTTGCGGGCGGCTTTATGGGCGGACTTTACGGGCGGACTTTACGGGCGGAGGTTACGGGCGGGTGGTTTGGCTGGCGGGTGTGGCCGGATGACCTCCAGTCAGGACGGAGGCTGCTGGGCGCATGGGCCGTTTTTGATCTCGATGTATCTCCTGCAAAGTAAATTTTCGAAGAAAAAATCAGGAAAATTAGAGGCGCATATGCTCTGCAGGGCTGGGGTAGATGAATGTTTGCTGTCTAAGGTTCTCGCTGGGCCTTCGGTCGGCCAATTCCTTGCAGAGCTGGGTGCCGACGTTGTGAAGGCAGCGCATCCGGGGATCATAAACTGGCCCGGCTTTGAGTCAAGCGACGGGTTTTAATACTTCCATGCCAAAAGTTGCATGGAGGACTCAACGGCAAAAACGCACAGCTTCGTCAGGCGTAGTGTGAGTTTGTCCGATTCTGTCCAGACGGGGCTCATGGCCTGGAGACCGTGTTAATATAGGGGCTTACGAAAATCAGCGGACCCCCCCGCCCCCCCCATATAGACCCTTATCACAAGGACCCCAAGAAGGTACAAGTACCCCTAATTTTGGAAGTCCCATCTAACTGTGTGGGTGTGAGTAGTATGTGCAGGTCGAGAACCGCAAGCTCGATACCGAGAGGGGCGCTGAAACTTCGAGGGCACAGAACTGCACGCATCTGCACATCCGAAAGTGAGAGCCCGCCGGATTGCCCCGTGGTCCCCATGAATTCCATCAGTCTGGTCGTGAGCTGTTTTTCCTCGTCCCCCCTCTCAGGCTTGATCATAGCCGGATTGATGGCATGTGGCAGAAATGTTGAGGACTGGCGGGGACGTGACCCGGTCGTGGCGATTGCGCGGTGACAGTCCGCAGCAGGCCACCAGCTACTTCTCCTGTTTCTCGCCCGGGAACTGCAGCATGCCATGGGTCTCGAGATGTGACGCTTAGAACAAAACAGGAGATTTTCAAGACTTTTCACACCAAATGCCCAGAGCTTGAGCATCTTTTCCCCAGGTTGCAATCTGGGAAAGCGCTCCCTGGCCGTCGATGCATCCACGGACCGCGGCCGAGACTTATGCAGGCACCGGAAGACATGTTGGGGGGTTTAGGGTTTAGGATTTAGGGTTTACGAGACAAGGGGTTATTATAAGGGAACCTTACTGTTTGGGGTCCATTTTAGGGGTCCCCTGTTTTGGTAAACCCCCCCATGTCTACTTTGGCAGTTTGGCAGGCGCCTGTCGTGTGCGAGCGTTCCCGAGCATCCCCTGCCTTTGCAGTCCTTTGCCACTTTCAGGCGTTTGGCCATTTCATCTGATATTGCGGGCAACTCAGTAGTGGCCACCTGAAGCAGCCGTTGCCCCATCGCTCACATAGGGTTGAGAAAGTATAGACTCTGCTTAAACAACATGAGGCCCTTGACATCCCTCAACCCGAAATCGCCTTAGCAATGTCAAAATCCTGGCCCTTCTTCTGAGAGCTGTACTGCCATTTGCTTTCACTTGCTTCCTCTCCGCAGCTGTAAAGACTCAGCGCTGGTCATAGCGAGGGGGCCGCCATGACCGCGCCTGCCGGCGAGGGGAGGCAAAAGGCGGCGCTCTGAAGTCACATTGCCGCTCTGAGAATCCAACGCGGGTCCTACAGGATGTTGAGGTTCGAGTTTGAATTGTGCCTTGGTCAGCTGTGCAGGCAAATGACGAGAAGGGGTCCTGGCCTCATCATGCAGTTTGATGCTGCAAAGTGTGTGATAGTGCGATTCTGCCTTTGTGTGCACGTGCTGAGGCAAGATGTGCGTTTGGCAAACATCCTCGCCGCGAAGGCGGTGTCTGACACTGTGAGGACAGGTGAGTCTATAGGATGTTTTCAAAGCTGCAACCCTAAACCCTAAACCCTAAACCCTAAACCCTAAACCCTAAACCCTAAACCCTAAACCCTAAACCCTAAACCCTAAACCCTAAACCCTAAACCCTAAACCTAAACCCTAAACAACTTGCCTCGGAGCCTAGCGCGGAAGGCAGACGCTCTTTGAGCCTATCTTCTCGACTCTTTCAGGACATCTCTTGGACCTCGAGGCATGGACAAGATGATCCAGGAGCCAAAAGGTGCATAGGGAGGGGTTGAAGAACATGGGAGTTTAGGGTTTAGGGTTTAGGGTTCAGGGTTTAGGGTTTCCGGAAATTTGGGGTACCTTATTGGGGTCCTTATGATCAGGGGATCCTACGATTTGGGGATCTATATTGGGGGTCCCCCTATTGTAGCACCTGGATGGCCAGTTGCAGCGGAAGTCTTGGCTTCAGGTGAAGTGCTGATCTCCAACGACGGCGCTACCATTTTGTCGCATCTTGGCTGAGAGATGCCCGAATGCACGCAATTCTTCCTAAGCCCTAAACCCTGAACCCTAAACCCTAAACCCTAACCCCTAAACCCCTAAACCCCTAAACCCTAAACCCTAAACCCTAAACCTGCGCCATCGTTTGTCACTGCCAGGAAGCTGAAGCTTCAGCATCCAACTGCAAAAATGATGGCCGAGCTGTCCAAAGCGCAGGAGCAAGAATGATGTTGGACAAATGTTTCATGGCCTACTCCGTTCACTGAGCTGAAAATCCCATGAAATCCGAGTCATCTTGGGAGGACATTGAAGCTGGTGATGGCACTACCTCCGTGGTCGTCATTGCCGGTGCTTTGCTCGGAGCAGCAGAGCGGCTGTGCGGACCCAAGCACCGAGACCAGAGCAGAAGAGAGGTGAGCAAAAGGAGAGAGGAGACCGTTGAAGGCCGTCTTTGGTAGTGAAAGGCATCGCATTCAAGGAGTGTGCTCTCTGCACTGTGCAACGAGCCGCTGGAAAGCTGTTGAAAGTTTTTGACTGGCACTCGAGGCTGAAGAAAGGAATACATCCACAGACGATCACAGAGGCGCGTCTTCAGCTATGGCTTTCGGATAATCGCCTGTGCCCAGCAAGCAGTCATTGGCACTGCAACGCTGCGTCGGAGGCTTTTCTGCAAGCAGCGCACAAGGCATCGTCGGGCCAGCAGCAATAAACCCTAAACCCTAAACCCTAAACTCTAAACCCTAAACCCTAAACCCTAAGTTCTACTGCATATTCATGGGTCTGGTAGGCCGAGGAGGTCCTTGACGCCGTCGCGCAGCCAGTGGTGCCTTCGAAAGCATCCTGAGTGCACCCCCCCCCCCCGCGTTGAAAGTCTAGTCTTTTGAGGCGTCATGTGTCCCAAGTGGGCTCCGCAAAGTCTTCAAACTGACATCAACGAAGTTCTGACAACCGTGTGCTTTGCCAGATCCGGCCATCGTCCTCGTTTTAACGACAGTTGGGTTTTGTCAAAGCCAATGAGTACCGCAGACCAAGGGGGAGCGCTCCCCCTCATGGTGTTCTTGTCATCCCAGGATCTGGCCGACCGGGAGCAAATTCTCCAGGCGGCCATCACTTCGCTGAACTCCAAGGCCGAACCAGTCCGTTGGGATTCACTCTTTCATTCTTTCGTGCCGTTCAAGCACTAGCTTGGCCTGCAGAAGTTTGCAAAAGGCGAGGCAGGTCTTGAAAGAAGGCTGAAAGGCCCATGCAGGTGGAAGCGGTACACTGCGATCATGTGACGTCTGTGTGGCCTCAGAGAGAGCTCGCAGCTTGCCTTTTTTTCCCTGACAGCAGGTCGTCTCCCAAGAGTCCGAAACCTTAGCACCCATCGCAGTCGACGCGGTGTTGAAGGTGCCCTCTGCACATTTGCAAGCTTTTTTGACAACTCTTTCAGCTACACCCGTCGTGCAGGTAACCGACCCGAAGTCGGCGACAAATGTTGATCTCAACGACATCAGGCTGGTGAAGAAGCAGCCCAGCGGCACTTGTCTTCCCAGGGCACGTCGCGCAGCACGCAACGCGTGTTATCAACAAAAGAACCTCTGGCCGCATCGAGGCTGGGGGCAACCACCGACGACACGGAGCTGGTTGAGGGCCTCGTGCTCTCTCAAAAAGCGCCGAATGCTCAGATGTGCCGAGATGTGCCGAGTCAAAGCAGAAGCCAAAGCAAAACAGGTCCAGGGCTGCCGGTGGTCCCACTCGGATCCAGGTGGGCGCCTTTTGCAAAGTTCTTTTGTGAGAAGGGATTCCTGTGAGTTGCCAGCGCCAGTGACGAAAGGATGCCAAGATCGGACTTATCCAGTTCTGCCTCTCAGCTCCAAAGACGGACATGGAGAGCAACATCCAGGCCATCTAGGGGATGCAACATGCCGTGGCGTAAATTGCGGCATAGACATTGACATAGTGTTTGGAACAAAGCCTTGAAGCCGTTCTCTTTACGACGCCGTTCCGCGACAATGGGAGGTCTGCAAGACAAAACCGTGATACACGCTAGGGGGTGCGACAAATGGATGCAACGGAGCGGTGTGTGTGTGTGTGTGAGACACCGTGACGCCACTCAAGCAGTACTCAGTACACTCTAATTACGTGTACTTACTGCACACTCTTCACACGGCTGGCACGACCGATTATGGGGCTGAAGCTCTCACAGGTTCCATGGCGGAGCTTCGGTTGTGTTGCGTAATATTATCACAGTGTGGAAGAGCCCTCATTGAAGTCCTAGTTACTAGTTCCTCCAGTGATTCAGTGATGCAACATCATTGAAAGGTCCGCGACTATGCACAGATGGATCGCCTTCTTCGCGAGGAGCGGACTCTGCTGGCCGAGACCCCAGCCTCAGGGAGTGAGCCCTGAGCCCTGAATGGATGTGAAGGGATGTTAGTCAAGACGCAAGGCTCCGAAATGCTCCGAAGCCGTGCAAGCCGTAATATGAAGCGTTGTCACTGAGGCCAAGATGGTGAAGCAGGTCGCCAAAACCGGCTGCAACGTCCTGCTGGTGCAAAAGTCCATTTTGCGAGATGCCGTTACAGACCTCTCATTGGACTTTTGCGCAAAGGCAGGCCCTGCCATAAACGACATGAGAAGTGCTTGAATGGTCTGTCCATAACCCTGCAAGGCCAAAATCATGGTCGTCAAGGATATTGAACGGGACGACATCGAGTTCATCTCCAAAATTTTGGGTGTGGAGGCAGTAGGGCGCCTGCGTTGCTTGCAAAGTCGGTGCAATAGTGGAGCTAGCTTGTATTGGGTAGCGTGCATGCATTGCTTGCCGACCATCAAGATCTGCCTCCGGTGTCGGCCAAACAAGAATGCATCATGAGGAACCGTATGATATCGTGACGCAGGCTGCGGCGACGCTCGACACCTTCACACCGGACAAACTGGCGAAGGTTCAAGCCATCAATCAAGCGAGAAGCCAGACTGTCCATGACCTTCACAAAAGTCGATTGGCTTGTCACAGGCCGACCTTGTCCACGAGGAGAATTTGGGCTCAGAGCAGCTCGGTTGCCGAAAGCTGGAGGACTGGGTTTCCACAGGACTTCTACCCGAGGAGCTTCCTGGATGACGTAACCACGTCGGCCTCGTCCCATCAGATGAATGTGGGTACGAAAATAGCGAAACATCTCAATCTCGTCCTTCAGAGTAAGCTTTACATGGATATCATGTTCAAGGCCATGCGTACATTCCCGCATGTGTCAGCCATCGGCATGCCCGAACAAAAGGTCTGTTCCGACCCCTGAGAGCTCCAAAGAATAGCCTTACACCCAAACCTCCAAACTCAGCAGCCTGAGAACACTGCTGCTGAGCCCGGTCTGTTTCCCTGATTGCAAACTTGGCAAGTCGAGTTCTATGTGTCGCGCCGGATCCCCTTGGTCTGCAACCTTACTGTTTGGGTCTTCGCCGGCATAATTTTGAGCTGTTTGCATCTGGTTTAGCATCGATCCGTCGAAGTGCTTGAGGGTGTGAGTTTGAGACGAAACTCTAGTCGCATTTCCCGGTGGCCGCAACCCATTGGTGAAGTCCAAAGTATCCAGGCGTTGGAGTCTTCATAGAACGTCGTAGGAAGATTTGGGTGAGCAGTATATTGTTTAGAGAGGAAAGCCTCGCGTGTGCCATCCGATGGCGCCGCTCACAGAGAACAAGCTGGCGAACACTACGCAATAAGAGCTCGACGGTTTTGTAGTGAAAAGCTTGTCTGAGGATTTCGATCGTACACACTCGCCCGAGCGGACGAAAAGCCCAGGATTAAGCGCGACGCGCGCCAAGGGGGAGCTCCTACAGGATTCAACTGCCAGCCATCGGTGCGTTATATGAACGCGAAGCTCTACATGATGTATTCTATCATTGTGCTTTTGCAGGCTTCAGGTCCAGGATGTAGTGTGTAAAAGAAAGCCGGAATCTGTGATGATGTGCAGTGTCTTGGGTAGTGCTTGCCAGAATGTTTTTTGACCTGTT